CTTGCAGAGGCCCTGTGATTTGATTGTGCAGATGGCCTTATCTTTCTCAGAAAGTCAAAAATTCTGAAGATTGTTCCAAACTAATTACATTTGGGGAGAAGGACGGGGTGTGGGTGGTGGGAATGAACAGCTTCCTGACACAGTCAGGATGGTCACCCGTTGAAGGTGGGTAGAATTGTGGCACATTTGCCCATCTTGGGTCGTGCTCCATATGCATTCTCCCTCCTCCACAGGCATTTAGCCCAGGGGTTTAGCCAGTCAACTGGCCAACCACTTTGCTGCCTAGGGTTTCCTTCTCTCCAAGAGTGGAGTAGGTTGCATTTCCATAGGGTCTATTGCCCTTGACTGTTTAGGGCACACTTTGCCATTAATTAGCCCTCCCAATCCTCCTGACATCACAAATGTGACTTTGGACTGCTCAGACAGGTTACTTAGTATAAATCCAGACTCTTTGATCTTGACTGCATGAACTTGGCCTTGCTACCTGCAACCTTTCTCTGTCCCAATTTCTGCATCTGTAAAATGCTGGTAATTATATACCATAACTGCATTACTGAGGGGACTAAGCTGATGCATGTATAATGCTTGGAGTAATGCCCTGCACACAATGAACGCCCTACAAATACTAGTGATCACCAGCTCCAAATGTTACAAAAGAAGGCCCACTGCTCAGAGCTAAGTTAAATGACTTGTCCCTAAATTAAAGAACCATAAGATAACAGGGATGGTCATTAAACTTCAAAGGAGTGTCTTGTATCTCTTCCCTTTGACTGAGAACTTGGACAGGATGCACCCTCTGCCTGGCAGGGCTCCTGGATAACTCCCTGGGGTTAGTGTGTGTGTGTGTGTGTGTGTGTGTGTGTGTGGCCCCAGCATTTTGGATGATGGCCTTGGAGAAAGAGGCTGGTGGGAGAAAAAAAGCAAAAAGCAATTCGATTTAAACTCACGGAGAGACTTGTGAAGAGGCCAGTAGGTTTTTCTTGGTTTTAGTTTTTACTTTTCTTATTATAAAAGCAAATAGACAATCACTGCTAAAAATCTGGGAAATACACAGGAAGTTCACAGAAAGAAAACCCTCTGACATACTAGTCATCATTCATCTTTTCACGCAGACCCCTCTAGTCATCTTTCCTAATAATCATACGTACAAGTTAACATAACAAAATGTGCATATGCCCATGCCAGGATCCTCCTGGTCTTCTTGCTTTGTGATTCCTCCACCTGGCGTCTTCTTCAGGGCCTATGGAAGTCGAAGTTCAACCCTGAGAACACAAGGTCAGAACCTTTCTACAAGGCCGATGGGCAGTCGTGCCCGGCATCCGTGATGTACCAGGAGGGCAAGTTCCGCTATCGGAAAGTGGCAGAAGGCACCCAGGTGCTCGAGTTGCCTTTCAAGGGTGATGATATCACCATGGTGCTCATCCTGCCCAAGCCTGAGAAGAGCCTGGCCAAGGTGGAGCAGGAGCTCACCCCAGAGGTGCTGCAGGAGTGGCTGGACGAGCTGGCGGAGACGATGATGGTGGTCTACATGCCCCGCTTCCGCATCGAGGACAGCTTCAGCGTGAAGGAGAAGCTGCAGGACATGGGCCTTGTGGACCTGTTCAACCCGGAGAAAGCCAAACTCCCAGGTTAGTGGGGGGAAAAGACTTTAGGCCTTCCTCTGCCCACCAGGGGGTCTGACCAAAGGTGGAAGAATGGGAGGGATGCCCCAACTGATTTGGCTCGGTGGATAGAGTGTCAGCCTGTGGACTGAAGGGTCCGTCCCAGGTTCGATTCTGGTCAAGGGCATGTACCTTGGTTGCGGGCACATCCCCAGTAAGGGGTGTGCAGGAGGCAGCGGATCGATGTTTCTAACTCTCTATCCCTCTCCTGTCCTCTCTGTAAAAAAATCAATCAATAAAATATATTTAAAAAAATAAAAAGAATGGGAGGGAGAGTGAAAAAGAGCCACAGGTGGGACACCTGGGTCTAATCCAGTTCTACTGTGAACTCAGGGAACTCCCCTTTCCTCTCCAGGGCTCAGCTTTCTCCTTGGGAGAAGGGGGAGGCAGCTCTTGGTCCTCCTGGGGCCCAGCTGGTACGGGAACCCTTTTGTCACTGATAGAGGAGATGGGGCCAGGGAGAGAACTTGGAAAGGCATCAAATTCAGGGCAGAGATGGATCTGATGAAGAGCTGGGGACATCTGGGTCAAACACGGGGGAGCTGACATCTGGTAGCCCTTCACCTGCTATTCCAAAGGGCTCCTGTGTTTCTTCCCTCAAGGTCACTTGAACAGCCAAACCTTTCCGCTTACCATGTTAGGTAACTGGATTGACCTTTTATGGGCTATCTTTAAACTAGGTCTGAAAACCAATCCCTCTCTTATAAATGCTGCCAGATTGGAAAGACATTCCTACCATCAGACATTTCTTTAAGAACAGAGCCTCTTCCCCCACTACCCCCCTCTTCCTTTCTCTTCCCCCACCAAGGACTGAAGCATGAGATTCAATTCACGGAGCCAGGCTGAGAAGCCCTGTGTATGTTCTGTTACCATATGTGGTATTTTGAGGGTGTCATTAGGTGAGGGTCCAGAATGGCTTCCTATTTTCCAAAAAAAAAAAGCCCCAAAGGGCCTCTTAACGAATCTGGATTCCTTTCTCCCATGTCACAGAGCCTTCTCTGGTCTTCCTCGCAGGTATTGTTACCGGAGGCCGGGAGGACCTCTTCGTCTCTGACGCGTTCCATAAGGCATTCCTTGAGGTGAGTACACCTCCCTTGGCTCTCTCTTCTGCTTTTTTATTCCCATGCTGTTTTATTACTCATTCATCAATATCTCCTGGGATTTGTAACTTTGGAGTTCTTGTTTCACTGGCTGCCCTAGTATAGCTAGTAGATGCTCGAACTGCCCCCTACAACACAGCCCTGCCCTGAAGCCCCGGGGTCTCATTGTTCCAACCTCCCTTCCCGTGTCTCTCCTGAAGCAGGTGAAACAGGGACACGAACATCAAGGGAAAGGAGCCAGCAGAGGGTTATCATGAAGAGGCACAGACCACTGTAGTGATAGTTACCATTTTCCGAAGGCATCTCCCTCTAGATTAGGGGTGTCAAACTCAATCAGAGAAGGGGCCAAAATCTAAAATCCAGCCTAAATCGTGGGCCGAATGGTTTACTGAACAGTCATAAACTGTCATTGTGATGGAAACGCAGCAGAGTGCAGTGATGACAGCGCGGTGCGGGCCACATTGCAAGGCCTGGCGGGACGGATTTGGCCCGCGGGCCTTGTGTTTGACACATGTGCTCTAGATGGTGGCGCTTCTGCTTATCAGCAAATTCAAATACGATTGCTTCAGTCTATTACTCCAAGAAAACTCATCTCTTCCAGCCAGAGGGTCTTCCTCTTTTCAGAGGCCCTAGGTCCCGAGTGGTTCCTTGGGGTACTTTTAACTGGGAGCCTGATGCACCAAGGGTGAAACTATTTCAATGGTAGAGCTCTGATCATGAGTCAAAATCCCTTTTAGCATCAAGTACAACGTAATCCCCTTGAAATGCCACGTACCATGTGCCAGCCAGGAATGTGATAACCTTGTCTCCATTCAGATTTCTGGTTCAGCAATTATCTGAGGATCTGGCCAAAGGCTTAGATGAATCCAAATGCCTACATCAATATTCACTGGGTGGAAGAATGAGGATCAGTAGGGTTCCAGATGGAACCCCAGCTGACCCAAAGGCACTTTCCACTGGGTGGCAGATAGCGCTTGGAGGAATGGCTGTGTCTGCGCCGGAGGCCCCGGTGTCTAAGGAACGGCAGGCAGCTAATGCAGCAATTTGTCTCCTGTTTGACCTGCAGGTGAATGAGGAAGGCAGTGAAGCAGCCGCTAGTACCGCCATCGTGATTGCTGGCCGTTCGCTGAACCCCCACAGGGTGACCTTCAGGGCCAACAGGCCCTTCCTGGTTCTTATAAGGGAAGTTGCTCTGAACACGATCATCTTCATGGGCAGAGTAGCCAACCCTTGTGTGAACTAGAGGGTTCTGATTCCTTGCACCTCCTCCTATTTGGTTTGTGAACAGAGGTAAAAATAAATACAATTACTCCCATCTCACCAGTGCGAATGCACATTGCCACCTGAAATGAAGACAAGGGAGGGAGAGGCTGCTAGACGTGCTATTGGGCATTTGGTAAAATGATGATTTTACTTGCTACCAGTGAATACATCTGGGTAAAGAGAGTGAAGGATGTGTGACTGCAGCATCCTGAAAAGATGGTAGGCATCCCAGAAGGGCAGGGGGGGCTTGACATCTCGGTATTCCCACCTTACAAAAAAAATCCCCCAATTTAAAACTCGTTGATCTACATGTACAGAAAAACAGAGACTCAAATCTGAATATTAAATCATTTAATTCTCAAACCACTCACATGCATAATGTTCTTTTACACAGTGTTAAAATAAAGAGGAAAATGTATTTTTATACAGATTTTCAAGTATACATTAATAGACTTTTCAGATTACTAACCAAGTTGCTAAGATTTCATTCACATTGTTCTTAAAGCTGTCCAACGAGAAAGCTTTTGCTAAGCTGCTTTAAATATGTTCATATAAACCCATCTCTTCACTCTTTCTTGGAATCTCCCGCCCCCAACCCTAGTGTCCGCCCACCCTCCTGCCCTCCCCCCTTCCTACACAACAGGGCTCCTGGGCTCTAGGAGGCATGCAACCCCACCAAGAAAGATTGGCTTGTCATCAGGGGAAGGACAGAACCTACAGGAGGAGAGAATGAGCACACCTGCCAAATTAAGGGCGAAAACTTTAGAAATGACACAAGTCAGACTCCTATCTTACAGCCTTTGCATTTTCACTTGACTTTCTAATGAAAAAAAATCAGCCTCCCACAAAACAAGCCAGAAGTTTCTGATAGTTTAATAGCTGAGAAAATAACTTAATACCGGGTCCTTTTCCCCAGTGAAACTTCTAAAATCAGAGGAGGCATTTTGAACTTTTTCTTTTTGGTTGTTTCATTTTCCCTTTGGCTGGGGGTGGGGGCAGCTTAAAAATGGATGTTTTTAGTTGTGTGTTTGCATTAAGGAATTTGGTTCATTTCACAGGGTCTGTCTGCCTGGCAAAAGAGTTCTCTCTCCTCAACTCTCCTCCTGAAGTAATCTGGCTTTAGGGCTGGAAACAGCCACTGTCCTTAGGAATTAAAGTGCATTTTTCAGTAAAAAGGGGTGTGTGGGGGTGTGGTTTACACTTAAGTGATAGTGATTAAAAGAGGGTGGGGTGAGAGGAAATCCTATTCCTATATATAGGTATTTATAATTAAGGTCATAATAAAAATCAATACTCTCTAAGGAAATAAGATGCGCAAACCAGCCAGGCACCCTCTGAAGTGCAAGGGCACGAGCCTTGCTCACTGACTTGTCTGAGGCATCTTGAAGCGACCTGGAGTAGTCGCTGCCGATGAAAGACACAAACCACAAGGTTTAGTTTTTTCAAAGGGAAAAAACAGACTGATAGGTTCTCATAGTTACAAACGACCTCATTCCCTTTCAGGGATAACAGCATTTTAGAAACTGATTGTCTGTTTTAATATGAATCCTTGATTAGCAAATTGTGAAAAAATGTTAGGGTAAGTCTGTTGCTTACAAATATTATGGTAGCTTTTAAAAACTCAGGCGGAGGGGGCATGGTAGGTGCTTGCTATCAATCAGTATCAGCCGAGGAGAAGTGAAACTTCCCTGTAATCTCCTTATTTGATAGCTACCACTATTTTCCTTTTAGTAGGAAAACCATTTACTATTTCTTGGGGGATCAATCCCAAGAGTTTTCCAAAGAGAACGAAGTGCTACATCATTAGCTGTATGCAGAAGTGATGGGCTCAGAATGAGGGGGAATTGTCCTGGAGTCTGGCCTCTGAGTCCAGTGTGATCTGCTTTTCACAGTGACCAGTGGGAAGGCACAATGCCAGGGACAGTGGGTGGGGACAGTGTCACCCAGCAGATAAGCACCATAGAGAACAGATTTCTTCCAGACCACGTCCATCTGACAGAAACCGAGTTTTGGCTACACGACTCTTCTGTCTGAACCCTCAGTCTTCTCTCCTTCTCTTCAATCTACTTTTCCCTTTCCTCACATATGCTGAACTGCCCCAAACTGAGAGTTTTCAGATTTCTGAAAGAAGCCCTTGGTTCCTGATTGAACTGGCAGTGCTCTTTAAGGTCTGCCATGAGATCACAAAAAAGAAAGAAAGAAAAGAAAAGCAGCGGGCTCAGCCTGTGAACACAGACCACAGCAGACGAAAAGTGAGAGGCTGAGGCAGAACTCATTGCTTCTGCCTAGAGGTTGGGAGCGTCTTACTTTTGTTGAGAGGAGGGGGATGGGGCAGGTGATGAAACTGTGGTCAGACTAGCCTCTGGTTAGCTGCTTCCAAAAGGACTTCTTAGAGGTTTCAAAGGAATCGGCAAGCTGACCCAGGAGGGCAGAAGAACTTGACAGAACATCACAGTCCTGATAGGGAATGTTTTGTTTCTTGCTTAAAATACAGTACAAGTTCATAAATACATCTATTTTTTATCATACCTTCCCCATCCTCTTCCACTGCCCCCACTCCCAATCTTAAAATCCAGTGCGGCATGATTTGCATAAAGTTCAACAACATTTCACAGTACTCCACAATGCTCTTCAGCAGGAGAACCCCAGGGCCACTCTCCCGATGCAGACAAGTCCCAAAGGCTGCCGCTTTCCATCCACCCAGTATCAGGAAGCCTTCACATGCTTTCTAAGGCAAAGGAGGCGTTTTCTCTAAGTGACACTGCAGAATTTGCATGCTAAGCAAATAGCCGGGCCTTAATGTTACTGTAATGAGATTTCATAGCCTGATGCTAATTCAGTCCTCTGCACTAACCAGTCTTTCCTTTTTGACCCACTTTTTCTTCTCAAATGCACCAGCTATTTGAAATTTAAACGATCAGCTATTTGTAGGCAATATATGAACGAATTTCTATGGTGCCCAGAATTCTCTCAAGAGAGAACCTGCTCTGAAACACAAATTGCTTTCATGAATTAGAAATTACTGGGTAGCTCCTTAGTTTGAACAGTGGCTCTCACTTTTTATGGGAAATCAAACAGTTTCCTCCCTTCCATTACCATGTGTGAGGTTGCCATGGGCAGGTACCTTTACTACTGCGGTGGAGAGAAGGAAAGATATGAAACCTCATTTGGGAATTACTAGATTAGATCTTTGACATCCTGGAACAAAGATGCTAAAATGATTATTTCACATTTCTTATAAAATTCAGAAACATTTAAACCTTATCTTGTGCATTTCATTCACAAAGAAGGAAGAAGGAAAGACACTTTACATAGACATCCTACATAGAAGCCAGCTAAGAGGTTGATCACCCCAGAAAGGGCCTTTTCTCTGCACTGACTTTAACAATGCTTCTCAGTTATTTTACAAATAGAGGCCCCCCTAGGTGGCGTGGCTTGGCTCTTATAATAAGGTCAAGGGTTCTATTTTAGAGGCAGAACTGAGAAACCTCCACTCAAATCATCTATGTAAAGGAAAGTGGGTTCTAGAGACCAGACTTTAAAAATATGCTTTGTTTACTTATGCAGACTTTGTATCGTATAGAGAGGAATGGAATGGATGGCAACATCTCTCTCCAGAATGACTCTGAGGACAAATGGACGATCTATTGTAACGCCTGAGTCTTGGCCCACCCACCATAAGCTTTAAACTCAGAGCCATGCCTCGGGTATCAATAAAGGTTATCAATAAAGGTATCTGATGAGGGAGGTCTACAGGCCAAGTCAACTGGCTCTAAACTAGAAAGCAGTAAGACCAGTGTTCACCCAAGTCACAGGGAAGAAATGGAAGTCTCCATGCTTCCTCCCAATTCACAGATTTAACATGCCTCAAAGGAATGATCTAGTAGGTGTTTCTCACTGTTGTATTTGTTCTGTTTTTAAGGAAATCACTTTAGCTGTACTGGCTGCACCATCAACAGTAAATTACTGACTTTAGGTAAGACTACCTTAAGCATGTGGTATAGCAAAACAGCGGGGGACCGGCCTAGGACAGAATCTGGGCCCAAACAAAAGACAAGCCAGAAGTGAGAATTTTCTTAAGCAGAGTTAATTCCTGAGTCCAAGATATCAGCCTGGCGTATACACTGACAATTATTTTACAGTTATACAAAACATAGCTGTGGTGGATAGATTCACATTGATTTTACTGCCTCATCTCCTACAGGATTCGTACTGTATTCAGTTGTCACCTATGAAGTAATGCTTGTCTAATTATTTGAAATTTCACACTGTTGGTATCATCACTTGTCCTACTCAGTTACTGGGTAAATGAATATTTATTAGCTGGTACCTAAAACAAAGAAGCCAACTTCTAAAAATATGAAACTGGATCACTCTCTCTCATCTTCACTCCTAATTAGACATCAGGACCAGCCAGTGCATTAGAAAGAAAAGGCGGAAGCTTTCCAGGATACCTATTAAAGGGCCAGTGGCCTTCCCCAGCTGTAAGAGATGTTCCAAGGAGAGGTGGCCTGATGTGGCTCAGTGTACCAGTGCCCCAAACAGCTGGACTTCAAGATTAGGTGGCTTGCCTAGTGGTATTTTACTATTAAAATTACATTTTCTGACACCCACAACATTCAAGTGAGGCCATCCTGACTATTGTAACAGTACCGGCATTAAAAATAGGAATGTCTCTCTTTGGAGTGACAAAAAAGCAAAACAGGCCCTCCAGAAGGCCATGTAATCCTCACCTCTATGTCAAGATGTTGGCAGAAGGCTCATTACCAGGAAAATATGGTTTTTATTCCAGTCCCCCCAAAATGGACTGCAAAATGGCAACTGAAAACAACAACAACACAGGATTCAGACACATTTTTCACATCATTAAAAGGAGTTGGGTGCATCTTTGAAAACAACAGAAAGGCTCCACTTCCACTGACTACTCCTGCCAAGTAGAAGCCAGCGGGTAAAAGCACTGCCCCAAGTCTTCTGACACTTGGATCTGGGCAACAACACAAACACTGACATCTAACTTGACAAGGAGAACGGGACCTGGCAGCCTCTCTATTTTGGGTCTGGCTTTCCTTTGCTTGCTACAGAAAGCTACACTCTCTCTTCAGCCGAGTGCTCAGAGGTAGAGGAGCTGAAGTGAATACGAGAAAGAATGGGGGGACAGTGGCTGAGGAATCCAGCCTCCTGCCAAAGGGGTTGCGGGGCAACCTTGGAATATGCTCAGTCTTTAATGGGAGGTAGTGTACATCGACTCATCTGCCTTCATCAGACACCTTGGTCTCACATACATACATGAAATCACAGACCCGGAGCTGGCCACTCACAACAATATTGCAACTTGCAGCAGCAGCACGCCTAACCTAACAGCTGCTTTCAGTCCCAATTTTATTCTGCACTCCAGCTCTTCTCAGGAAGATGTAAGCCAAATCGGTTACTTTGAGGTCCCTCCTTTTGCCAGGCTTTTAAACATACATTTCACTTTAGCACCTACATCTTTATCTCTGAAGAATAGCTGTACCAAGTGGGTGCAACGTGTCATAGCATCTTTATAAACAGAAAGTGCAAGAAATCATTTTCTTAGCCAAAATACAAACAAAGCAACAAAAAGCTCTCATAGCCTACTGTGCCAAGAATGAGATTTTTAGAATCCATGATACAACTAACAAAATGCTTCTAATGCTACCAAGGTCATAGTTGATGAGTAAATATTTATAAACATACATTTATGAAAAAAGATATTAAGAAAATAGCCAAACTACCCACAAGTTATTTGCATGAACTCTCTTTAGTATACCACTCTGTGTTCAATGCACATGCATATACAAGTGAATTATATTAGTGTTATTTTTTTATTGGGCCAGTTTTCCAAAAAGAAAACAGGCTCATTTTTTAAAACTTCAAATTACATGATTTAAAATCATTTTTTGTAAAAATATTACAAATACCATAAAAATTCTAAAGTCTCTGCTGTCTGGCTGACAGCCATTCTAGAGGTGATTTGTCACACTCAGCGCGCCGTTTCAGCATCGTGGCTTTCCGAGGAAACACAGCTTAAGCTCTGTTCCCAGTGTTGTAATTCGGTTTATGTAGTGGTTCTTAAAGAACCACTAGAGTTAGGATTCTGTTACCTTATGGGAAACTCAGTAGATCGCCTTCTCATGACATAAATATCTGCTTTAAGGATGCAGCTACCAGCAGAAATCTAAACACCCTTAAGGAATTTTCTACTCACTTAGGCTGTTGTGATTGGGCTTGTTATGGTCTAGACTTGTGATGCTGAAAAAAAAAAAAAAAAAGAACAAATATTTTGTCAATCTACAGATTCCCTTTCTTCTCTGTTCTCTTTTGCAATTCAAAACCTCAGGATTGAGTTTCATCTAATCATCAGATGATTCCAAATTTAAGTCACCGAGAGCCTAGAGAAGGGCCGGGAGAGCTAGAAAATCCAGACCGAGAGACACTTCCATAGATTACCATGAGTTTTCATTCTCTGGAAATCTTTTCAAAAGCTTTCTCTATCACAAAGAGCAGACTTTGAGTGGAAATGTGCATCAAAAAGAATATTTTAAGACTCCTTTATTTTTCTTCATTAAAATCTGCCCCAATCTTTGCATGATAAAATCGAATTAATCTTGATGCCTAAATGCCTCCAAGCACGCCCTCCCAGCCTATCCAAAGTCTTCTCTTTTCCTTCCCAGCATTCTGTAGGGCCCTAAACTAACTCTTCAGCCCTGGGTGTTCCTTTTTCTCTATATTTGCAATTCCTGAGGCCTGGCCTAAGGACAGAGCTCCCTTTACTGTATGATAATTGGGTGGCCAACTAGAACCCCTCCAGCTAACTTCAGGGATCCACTGCACAAGGAATGGATGGACAATCCCAAACCTTTCTTCTCTTAAAAAGTGTATTGACTTGAGGATGATCATTTTGTTGCAGAATTTATTCTCCCTTTATTTCTTGTGATGGCAGTTACGAGTCTAATTATTATTAGCCAGCAGGAGTTAAAATAAAGCATCCTAAATCTAACAAAACTTCAATGATCTGTTATTTTAGATAAGAGAGGTTGGCAGCAACTGGTAACTTTAAAGGATTAACAAAATGTAAAATTGGGCAATAGGTTTTCCTTATGAAAGGTATTAAAAGTGGGACGAACCTACTCATCGCCTAGCACAAAACTCAGCCAGAGCAGGTGGATGGCAGTGACGATGGGATTAGGATACACAGGCAAAACTTACAATTATTTCAACAATGTGGTCGGTCCTCTAGCCGCTCAACAGAAACTCCTGTTGAAAGAGATTTGGTAGCCATATAAATTTCCCATGCCACGAGAGTTTTCACCTACTTATAAACTTAAAATATAGCTGATATCTCCAGTTCTGTTACAGTAAGCTTTTCACTCCCTCAGGAGTATTTCTGTCTCGGCATGCACAGTTTCTGTGGCTTCACAAAACAAAGAATTGGGCAAAAGCTCACAAGTTGGAACAAGAGAAAAAATGGATATTTTGCTGTTAGATAAATGAAATTCGGGGGCAGGTAGATAATGAAATCTGTTGCAGGTATGTGTCTCATTCTCCTAGCTCCTTTAATGGCCAATGCCAGACATAATAAGTGGTGTCTATGGAACAAGCAATGGACCTAAATGAATGAACAGAGAAGAGTCAACACCAGTAAAAAAAAAACCCAGAAAACTGAATGCTGCCTATAAGAGATTAAGGACGGGCCCCAATCATTGACAGGCCTTTCATCAAGTAGGAAGGTATTTCCTGTCCCCATGAATCTGGGCTGACCAGTGACTTCTTTGACCAATACTGTCTGGTGGTGACCCTGGCCTTAACAGGATGCCTCCTACGAAGCCTCTTGAGGCCTGAGCTGCCATTCTGAATAAGTCCAACTACTCTGATGGAGAGACCACATAGAGTTGCTAAGACACCAGCGAGGGAGAGGAGGCTTGCTGAACCATCCTGCAAAGGTGGAGGCATGTAGGTGAGGTTGTCTTGGACACTCCAACCCAGTCCAACCACTTACTGAATACTATGAAGTGACCTGACTCGTCACCACTGGGAGCAAGAGAATTGCCTAGATGAGCCTGTCCTGAATTTCCGACCCACATCATGAGAGATGTACAATAGTAGTTGTTTTAAGTCACTGAAGGTTCGGGTAGTCTGTTACTCAGCAACAGATATGTGGAATGCTAGCTTTCATTTTCTGCCTTGGTAGTAACTCATTCACACATTCACCACTAGACCTACTACATGGGTGACTCTTGAAATCAGTGGGCAATAATATCCCCAGAAAATGCTCACCATTCAACATCTGCTCAAAGATCAACTGCATTATCTTCCAATCACATATTCTTGAATTAACAGTTCACTATAAGCAGTACTGTTACAGGCTATTGCATATCCCAGTTCATCCCAACCTTTATCATTATACAGTCAACATGACAGAGTGAAGACAGTTTGGACTTTGGGATCAGACTGGCAAATACTGACTGTGCAGTTTATCCGTGGTGTGACCTTGGGCTCATCAGTTTCCTCATCTATACAGTGTGGTATGATTATACCTATTAAAGGCAATATAGTCTATCAAGAGTATCAACTCTTGTATGAGACCACCAGGGTCAACCTGTGTCTCGGTTTCTTCCCCTCGAAAGTGAAAATAATAGCAGTATCTACCCTAATAGGATTGTCACAGGATTATAAGAATCAATCAATGAGAAGCACAGAACTGTGCCTGGCACGTAGTAAGTGTTCAAAGAAGTCAGCTACTTTTAGTTCTTCTATTATTACTTTATAGGATTATTTTCTTCATAGGGTTAATTAATTCTGTCCCCTTCTCTTGGATCTTTTCTCTATGCAGTAAAAAGTGCAGGTTTTAAAAAACATACATTCAGACTCCAACCAAGTGGGTTTAGGACTCTCAATTACTATAGGAAGCCTCATCTACACTACGTCTAAAATCAATGTTGTTATACAAATTCCAAGCACACTGTCTGGCACCAAAAAGTACTTAATATTTACTTAATGGCACAAATTTGCCTGTATGCTACGTACTACTTAAGATGGTGATTTCACAGAATAAACATTTCCCTATAAGATACTTTGATGTTTGGTATTATAGGTTAATTCAACTTCTAAGTTTCACAGTAATTAATAATTAGTACTATTAAATTGTGCCCTTGCCATATGAGGTGCTGCACATAAATCTCTTTTAACTGGATAGTGAATTTTAGTCACTTCAATAAGACTGAGTAGACATGAAAGAAGCAAGCATTAGGAAAGTATTTTCTTTTTTTAACACAACTGCTCTGCCTTTATAATGTAGCTTATGTTTAAAGCTCCCACTATTTGAGCTGGTGGGCCATTATTAACTGTGTTAAGATGGGAGATACTTGTTAAATAAATAATGGGGAGATGTATGGTAAGGAATTTATTTATATATGTACCCTCTGTGAAAATGTGTATTTCAAGTAATAATTGCCTCCTAAGTCATCGTTGTTCCTCACAGTTAAGGGAAAAGATAGTCTGCTTACAAAACAAAACTGGACAGTCTGTACAGATATTTTCTAAGTTTGATATCATTGTTCCCATCAATAATTATACCCTTTAGAACTTAATTAAGTCACGTGTTTTAAAGTATTCAAAATATCCAACTTTGGCTTGTTCTGAGCAAGAAAACCCACTTACTGCAAAACAAAAAGACTGGCCCTAGGAAAAGCACCAAAGAATAAGAAGACTGAAATCAGAGAATGAGACTAGAAAACAAAGAAGGCAAAACATAAAACTGATAATTACCAAAGAAGTCATAATGCTTGGCAAACTCCACTGTTTCTCACATTAAACAGATTTACATTAAATGACATCTACTATAGACCTCAAGTAGGGATGGATGCAAATGATTCACTGAATTCATATATCCGAATCCAATTTCTTTCACAAGTCCAAAATCCCAGATTAATCAAGAGTCTTAAATAGTCAGAAGAGCAACAGTCCAAAATGCCAAAAACCCACTATTACTATAATATAAGTGTTTTAAGACAAGGCAGAACAAATGTAGGCAGATATTATCGATGAAGATTACTTATTACTAAGAGGGTGTATTATATAGAATTTACTAATCTCCACATTAGAGAAAGGCAACTAAGAATAAAATGCCTGGTGAAGAAGTGTCCTTCAGGTGGCTGGGTCACTCATCTGAACTTTGCATGTATTATGGAGCTACACCCACAAAGTGAGAGGCAAACTCACTGGATTGCACCAGCGTGGCCTACAACCCTTTGTTCAGACAAGTACATTTAATGCAGAGGACCATGTATTGTTTTCAAATGGGGAATAACTATATTTTTCTTTTGCAAGGATTTCTATTTTTTTTTTCCTTCCAATTTCTTCACATCTAGCATCAATAAGCTATTTGAACGTAAGAATGAACACTCACTAAACAAATATATAATGGCCCAATATATATTCAGAAGAATTATAGTTGGTAATAGAAATTGGAAGATAGGTCTAAGAAGAATTAGCAATCTTCAGATGTTTCATTGTTTTAAAATATTAAAAAGGGAAAAGGAAGATTTGGCTTTTCAGCACTACACATGGAACAAAGTTTACTTGAGGAAATTAGAATGAAGATTTATAATATAGGAAAAGTTAGAGGTTTCTAATCTAGAAAAACAGTACTTTGAATAAGAATCAAACCACTTATTCCTAACAGAAATACAATTTTAATACTAGTGGGAATAAATTCACCCTTGCTATCATTATGCAAGGCAGTTCAAGTTAACTCAGAGGAATGGCAAAACTTACTTATAAAAATTTTTTTTTTTACCATATTTTATGTAAACATGGTAATCGTTGAACCTTACATTATGCATGGGGATTGTTTTAAAAATTTATTTGTTTATATCTATAACAACCATCCTAAACTTTAATCTACCTGCACCCTTAAGGCAAGGTCAAATCCTAATGACTATTCTAAATGTTCTTAAAGCAATGGGAACCATTAAGGAGCACAAGGAGGGTTGTGAGAAAAGGAACTAGGAAAAGATGGCTAACTCTTTTGGGAAACATGCATATATAGCAATATGAATTAGAACCCTTTTAGACTTATGAATTTGTAAAAGCAAAATGGCAAGACTGACAAATTTGGGGGGTGATGTGATCAAATTTAATTGGGAGCTGGTACACTTCTGTCAGATTTCAGACAGTAAATTCTGCATTTTCAGGCTTTGCAGACCATCTGGTCTCAACTTTGAATTGTAGTAGAAAGTAGCCATAAACAACACTTAAATGAAGAGGCGTGGCCCTAGTCCACCATCACTTTTGACCAGGGGGCTGCAGTTTGTTGAACACAGACCTAATTCATAGTCCTAGGGACAGCCTCTGAAATTTAGGGATTACCTGACATAATTGCTTATTGTCCCTTCTAAATTGCAGGAACCAAAATACTTCAATATTTTCACTCTTTCCCATGAGGCATAAGTAAAAAGATAGAGTTCAGTAGAGACTTATCTGTTGTTTCTTAAACAAATAAGTACACAAATAAGGAGAAGGACATGTGAGGAAGAGATAAAAACCCTGTCTGTTGTATCTAAGAGAAAAAAAACTTTCAGGATTCAAACTCCATCCTGACTAAATGCCTGTCCACTATGATTCAGAAGACTTTTGTCTTTGTTTAATTTCCTTTCCATTAGCCATTGCTTTCTTTAAATTAGATCTTCTAGTCAAACAAAAGGTAGTTTTTACTAGTTAAAGGAAACAAAATCAGAGTCAAGTAATAGCTAACACTTTTTAAAAGTTATTTCTTGGTAAAAGACTATTCAGTTATTAAGGATGAAGTTCTCTTTGGTCAGACCACTTTCCAGCCAAGGCCAAATTTCAACTATGAAGTTCAGAGGAAAATGGTTTAATTCTATATGTTAAACCATCTTTGGAAAACCCCATTTCACAGATGTAGAGGGAACTGGAAACATTAAAAAAAATAAAAATAATAATACTTACAAAAAACAGAATCACCATACCCCACAAAAAACAAAACCACCAAAAAACAAAATAGCAAGAAAACTTTCCTTAATTGCCATCTCCCTTGGTTCTCTATCTTTATCCTTTAGTAAGTTATTTTACATATTCAAAATTAGATTTACCGTAACTCTCTGGTACAATGAAATGGCTCTGGGATGGTTTGCAAGTTACATAAAATAAAACTCAACTCAGTTCAGAGGTAAATATGGTTCTGAGTAAAGAGAGAACAGGTCATTAGAAAGAGCCTTTCTGCCTCAGTACAGTGTCACTGCGCAGGCCAATGCTGCATTTTTACTGGAATCAGAGTCCAGAGAAAAGAAAAGGTTCTCCTTAGAATGAAAGAAGATGACTATATTGCTCTCTCTCTTCGTTTACTGAGAATATTGGGTAGCTCCTTTGCTATGAAGAGCCATTCAATGAATAAAAACAGGCCCAGTGTTTGCTATTTCTCGGCATTAAAGTACTTGATGATTTAGCTCTCATTGCTAATGCAGTTCCCTTTACAAGGTGAAGATTTGGTAATCATTTTCAGCATTAGCTAATGTCATTTAGTACACCGTTAAAAGAGGTATCCTCTGTGCACACAACAATATAGTGATTCATTGATGTGGATAGAACACTACTAACTCCTATGCTCCTACATGAAGTTAGCTAAGAACTAGGGCAATATCACAGTGAACTTGGAGAAGAATATGGATAAGTATTCAGAATAATAATAATATCTCTCCTAGCTAAAATTGCTTTCGGAAACTTGAATTTTCATGAACCTCCTGGCTCTAGTCTAGACCAGTGAAAAGGAGAGAACCAGCAAAGACAATTGTGCTGATGGGCTCCTAGACGACCTGGAGGCACTATTCACAGTATTAACACAGCAACAGCTATTAGAAATGAGCGAAAAGGTAGGGAACCCACCAAGCATTCATAGCATTTCCATGTCTATTAGACAGTCTCTGCTGCATTCAAAGTGTGTGCTGCCAACCTCGGATAGAGTACTGACAAATGCTGCAAAGTTTCTCTGCACTTCACCTTTACAATTTGGTAATAGTTTAAAAAGCTCTATTTTCTCACTTAATCTAAGAAAACTAGCAAAGCAATAACTTTCCAGCATACTACTGCTAAAACGTAGGATGGACTTAATATTTTTTTGGTAGGCTTAAAAGCTCCGGCTAAAGCAGCATATTCTGTACTTTTCATCTATTTAGTTATGGCATGATCTGTCCATTGAAAGCCTTGATTACCAGCTGAAATGTTTCCCTATAGATTTTAGTCTCATTTCAACTCTACTTTTTGTAGGCCACAGAGCCTAGTTGGTCCCTAAGATGGCCTTAAGCAAGAGTTTTTACCCTATCATGGTGTCCTGGTCAATGTCTTATAAAGATGAAACAGCTCCAACACAACATTTAAGGGTAGGCTCTTAACATATGGTAGCATTATTACACTCCTATTAAAAGACACATTTCTGTTTTTCTAAAGCGAAAAAATAACCATTCTCTAGTGATACAGTGCAGCTGTATGTGTATGTACAATTCTTAGATTGCTTCAGAATTACCCTTTGCATTTAACATCCTATCATCAAAGAAATGCCACCTTTTCTGTCCCCCTTCCCACATATCACAAAGTGTACTATCAACACTCACAAATGGCTCACCAGTGCAGGCATGACCAGGCCATCTTCCAAATCCCTTTAACAATAATCTATGCCTCTGCACCAAGACAATTTCTTAAACCACTATGTATTTAAATACTAATCTTAACATTTTAATGATCATCAAGAGAAGCTTGAGATTTTTTGCTTTTCTATTTGCACTGTAACCTGTAAGCGTCTACTTGCCTGCATCCCTTAAAAATCCACCCTCATTCTCTGCATACAAAACCGGGCATCTAAAGCTACACGCTTGGTTAATTTCTCCTGACTCTCAGTGCTGGATTAAGAATCTCAGGATTACCAAAAAGGTCTCTTGAAGTTTTAAAAAATCTTAGGAATGATTAAGTAATCAAACCTGATCAAAACTGATGCCTTGATCAATTTATTGCAACATGATTGTGCCTGATGTTTTCTGGTAAATGCCCTGTACTATATTAAAAAGCAAAGCTCTTGGAGTCACCAGCAATTTGCTGATGGTTGGTTTATGAAGTACTAGGATGGCAGACATGAGACATGGATTTAGTGAGGTTCTTCTATTGGACTGAAAATATAAACTATTACTTATGTAAAAGGAAATGGAATTGTGGCTGCAATAAGAACCATAGTGTTGAATTTCTTCAATCAGAAAGCTGCAGAAAAAAATGTGTTTAAAATTTCATAGAAAAGTTATCAAACAGGGAGACCTGTGGATTTAAAAATACAATCCAGGCTCATTTCACTGAAAAGGGACATTTCTGATATATACTATTGCTGTTATGTGAAACTAGGAGCCGAACAAAGTGGAGGAAACTTTGGTAGTCAGCCTAACACATTAATTCATCTGGATTAGAGCCATTTCCTAATATCCAAAGATATACAAGCACTGTGGTTGCAGTAAGTTGCAGAAGGCTCTGTACTATTCCACGTTTGCAAACCCCAAAACCCTCTGCTCCCCTCACCTCAACCCAGCACTCCAGCCCCCAATCTTAGTGGTACCTATTGCAAACACTGCTGTCATTTCACTTCCAGCTGCTTAAAGTGCTTCAGCGGATGCTGCCTCCAGCATGACTGTTACCGAAACAGGACAACACAGCAGAGGCCTAGTCAGGGCAAAGATAAGTCTAACCTTTCAAAACAGTAAGAAGCACCAGGATTCTTTTTTTCTCTCCTTGAAATCTGAAGCTGCACATTCTGGCAGGAAGGAAGAACAGAAGTTCCTCATACGGTTGGCTGGTTCCAATGACCACGGCTCCTGCTGTGTTTTTTAGATGTGGGTGACAGCCACCAGCATGACATGGACCAAAGGACAATGTTCACATGTGACTGGTAGATAAATGAGCATCTATCACTGTTTTGTTAAAAAAATTTCTTTTTCTTATAAAGTTAACAAACCAAGGCTGTTGATCCCTGAATTAGAAAGTTGATTTGCTTGATATTTTCCAAAGTGTGAGGTGGGAAGGAGGACGGGGGTAGAAAGCCTCTAGTGCTTCTGTGTATGTTGCTGATCCTCTAGTTTGGCAACATCTCCTGACCTAGTGATGTGGCATTTTGTGAATCGGAGTACCAGCCCATGGCCCTGCTGCCGGCTGCTGACGGCCCAAAGGGGAAGAGGGTCTGCCCCCTCCCCCTCGATGTTTCAGTCTGGCCCAGTGGTGGACACAGAGCCCTGGGCAATGTCCCCAGGAACAACTGTCTCTTCTTGTGAAGGTGACTCTTCCTCGACCTGTCCTCGAGATGTGACAGTTGTTTCAGGGGAGATGCTATGCGGCCCCTCCAGGGGGATGCAGCCAGGGTGGTTTTTGCGAAAGTGCTGATTCAAGATGGCCTGAAAGGGGAAGCTTTTCCCACAAACATGGCAGTGAAAGGGCTTGTTGCCTGTGTGCTTGCGGATGTGATACTCCAGCTGATCTTTGCGGGTGTACTTCTTGCCACACATGCGACAGACGAACGGTGTGATCCCCATGTGCAGGCGCATGTGCCGGTCCAGGCTCCCCTTCTGGTTGAATGATTTGGCACAGTAGATGCAGGTGAGACGGGGGTTGTACCGGAACCAACGCTCAGATACTTCTTGCTCTCGAAGATACTCCACATAGCCACTTACTCCCATCATGGCTGATTCTTCTACCTGTGCCAGGTGAGTAAAATATGCACAAAAGAATATATTCTGTGAACAGACATAGTAAAATAAATCAAATCTATTTTACCTAAGTTACTAAGCTTTACGCTAATTTTAGAGATCCAAACAGGAAATTATTACCCACAAGTAAAGATGTTGACATAACAATTAAAAAAAAAAAAATGAGGACACTGTAGTCCATTACCACAACAGAACAAGTTAAGTTACGTTTTGCCTGACAAACTGCACGCTTTTTATGAAACCCCCAGTGAATGTTCTATTGTACAGCAACAGAAGAATCTGGGCCCACTCATACCAGCCTCTTGAATTCTAATGTACAATTTTATCTAGATAATCAGGCAGGTATTTAGACAGAGCTGGCCTAAGAGAACTTTCTCTGATGATGGAAATGTTCGTTTACCTGCATCATCTAAACTCTCATACATGTCAAGGCATATATTAACTCATCTCAATATCATCTCCAAACAATATTAGTTATTTTGTATTTCTTTATAACCTGCTCCTTCTTCTTTAGTCAGGTAAACCTCCTTGTGGAATTCCAATTGTTATCCCTATTACATCTACATATGCTTAGTAAGTTACCTCTTTCTAACCACTTCATTAAGTACTGCACTTAAATGCTCCACTTTCTTTAAGTGGTTATTGATTCCAATAACTGCCTTTTAAGCACTCTATTCCCACAACACTGTTAACGAGGTCTATATTGTCTCATCTATTTCTGTTTTGTGTATGTGTTAGTCTGCCGTATGTCCCCATTAAGTTATAAGGTCTGTCTCATATTTATTTGCGTCATAGTTACCTTCACATAGTCATCACATTCTATTTGAAAGGTGAGAGAAAAAGGGCCCTAATAATAAGAGTAAACTTTTCCTCCAAGCTCCTAACATTTTCTCTAACACCTTATTAAATCTAAAAAAAAGTTCTTATAATAGTTACAATTCCTTTTCTGGTAACAAAAACGGGCATGGTAACATGCAAGTAAAAGTAATTTGTAGTAATGTCTTGCTGCTGTTACTATTATACATACACAATAAATGTCCAATATTTAAGTAAAATCTAAACAAGACACTATCAGTATAATGCAGAAGCTAAAAAAATTAGCTATGAAATCTTAGTCCACCAGTGTTTTCTTTTAAAGGACAAAAGTGTTTACAATGTATTAAATTTTATTTGGTGAGTTCTACTGTCCTTTTAAAAATAAATCTTCAATGATAGAGACCTGTGAGGAAAAACAAACAAACAAACAAACAAACAATAATATTAATCAACTAGTTATGCTACTTGCTAAGGAGAGTTGCAAAGAAAATAGAAGACATAATTCCTATCTTCTCTAAAACATTTTAGTCTAACAGAAGATTCAGGAAGAAAATAAATGAAAAGATATAAGCATATAAAAATGCAAAAGCAGTTGTTTATAAATATTTTCTATTACATAAGGTAATAATTATGTAGTGTTATACCCACCACACATGTCAGAATCAGGCTCTTCATCTCAGGTCCTACATTTCCTGCATGTACTTTTCAGGGGTTACTCTTTTATTTCTATTCTCAGGACTAAAGACTGGTTTTGAAAAGAGTTCCACAATTTCATCTTTTCTATTTCCCAAACTCTGCTGATACCAAAAATGCATTTCCCGCCTGCATCGGCTTTACCTCCTCCTAAAAAAAGTCATCAAGGAGAATATTTCTTTAACATTCCTACATCTCCTCTCCTACATCTTTCCTGTGGGACTCACACACAGTGGCAATTTCTTCTGCCATCACAACTACATACCTGGGAGCTGGGCTGCTTAGGCTCATCCATTCTCCCAGGAGACTCACTTCGGGCTCTGTGTCTCTCCGTCAAGGGGACAACACTGCCGGAGGGGCTAAATCTGTCGGAAGAGGAGCAAAAGGGGACTAACAGAAGAGCAGTGTCAAGGAACTTAAAAAAGGGTGATGTTTACCCTCTTTATCTCATGGCTGAGAAAAGGGGAACAAACTGAACAACAGATGACTAAGAAATACTTTCAGGGAGTCAATAATAGGACCTGATTTGAACTAAGACAAGAAAGGTTTGCCGTAGTAAATTTAAGAAATACAGAATTACATACGAGCTAGACCAGTGGTAGGCAAACTGCAGCTAGAGACACTTGTGGCTCTTTGGCTCCTTGAGTGTGGCTCTTCCACAAAATACCACTTGCGGGCGTGCACTTCTAGTGCGACTGAAACTTTGTGGCCCATGTGCAGAAGTCAGTTTTCAGCCTGGACAAGTCTATTTTGAAGAAGTGGCCTTAGAACACTCAAGTGGCCAAAGAGCCACATGTGGCCCATGAGCCATGGTTTGCTGACCACTGAGCTAGACCACAGACCTGGGGAAGCTAAGGCTAAATATAAGTTCCAATCCTTGTGTAAGAATTGGGAACCACAAAAGAATAAATTAAAACTGGGTCTATAATTTTTTCTTCTATGTAACGATTAGGTTTGGTTGTTCCTCCCAACATTAACTTGTATATTTCAGACTGTTGATAGAGTAGATCATGGAGAGTCACAGTCTTTGCGTTAAGCTATTACTTCTGATACAGTACTAACATGGGGCAATAGTATTGTGCTCAAGAATATTTTAACTATTAAGAACACAAGAAGGAAAATAGTCAAATCAAGACTACCTGAAGTGGATACAAGATATACTTTTGAAATTTGTAACACATATGTCTTTCAAGACCAGGTATCAACCAACCATTACAACTTTTAAAATTTTCATTGTTCATGCAGTCAATTTTAATTTAATTTATTTATTTATTTATTTATTTAAATATTTTATTGATTTTTCACAGAGAGGAAGAGAGAGGGATAGAGAGTTAGAAACATCGATGAGAGAGAATCATCGATCAGCTGCCTCCTGCACACCCCCTACTGGGGATGCACCCGCAACCAAGGTACATGCCCTTGACCGGAATCGAACCCGGGACCCTTCAGTTCCCAGGCCGACGCTCTATCCACTGAGCCAAACCGGTCCCGGCAATTTTAATTTATTTTAAAAGGGGAAAAAGAACATATATGATCAATCTAAGTTGATAATACTTCTTTCTTTTTAAAGAAAAAATGTTTTTTTATTGATTTTAGAGAGAGGGAGGAAGAGAGAGGGGGAGAAAGAACCATCTATGGGCTGCCTCCTATACGCTTTCTACAGGGGATCAAGCCCACAACCCAAGTATATGCTCTGACAACCTCTCAGCACAAGGGAAGATGCCCAACCAATAGAACAGAGCCACATCAGCCAGGCAATACTTCCTTCAACCGAAACTTTCTTTCAGTTTACTTAAATTAAAACTATTGCTATTTCCACCAAAAAGAAATGCTCTAATTACCACTAGAAAGAGAAATGAGAGTCTAATAACACTGGTAAAAAAAAACAAACGAAAACAGACTCTCGGGCCTGTGATAGCAGTCTCCAATGAAAGACAAAAGGAAGACATCAAATGACAAGTGAAAAAAAGGGATAAAAACCACGTCCAAAGCTTGTCTTTGCAATAACTGTATTGTGATTCCACGAATTTAAAAAGAAGAATTACTGCTGGTACCATACCCCTTCTAACTTGATAGGTAGGAAGCAAAGAAAAGTAAACAGCACTACAAAGGCAAGTAAAACTCCCCAGAGACCACCCACCTGGGTGAGGGCACAAGGAAGAAGGGCAAACCGGCCAGGTTCCCAGCTGATGACCAGCCCTCTCCCTGGAATTCCGAGAAAGCCTTGCTAGTTACTGACAACAGCGTGGCTGCAGATGCTATCCTGATTAATGCAAGTGTCTAACTTTACCATAGCTCTTGCAGCACTGAATTCTTCAGGACTAGGGACTTCCTGCTTTATTTTTATTTTTTTAAAAATGTTTTTTGTTGATGTTTAGAGAGAGGGGAAGGGAGAGGGAGAGAAACATCAATGAAAGAGAAATAGCAATTGCTACCTCCTGCACACCACCTACTGGGTATCCAGCCTGCAAGCCGGGCATGTGCCCTGACAGGAATCGAACAGTGACCTTCGGTGCATGGGATGATGCTCAACCAACTGAGCCACACTGGCCAGGGCAAGGAGCTTCCTGCTTAAAAAAAATAAAAATGCAAGTCTTTTGGCATACCTCCAGTTTCCCCAACATACTTATTTTGGCTAAGAGCATCAAGGAGGGAAGATGCTCTCTGTACCACACAGGGGGGCTGCTTGAGTTATGTCCGTACAACAGCTGTTCCATGGATGAACAAAACAAAAGAGAACTTACCTGTCAATCTCACTGCTTGTTGGCCGAGTCACCTTGACTCCTGAAGACCCTAAAGTGTAATTTTCCTGGGCTACGGAACCATGGCCCGTGGTGTCAATCACCATGGCTGTGACTTCCTCGGCACTGCTCCCGTCTTCTCCGGAAGGCTGATTCTCAGGCCCCAGCCACTCCTCTAGATTTTCCGTCTTGATGTGCACTGCTCCAAGAACCCTCACGTCATCATCGCCCCGCGCCCCTCGGTCTGCTACTCCCGTCTCCACGTACCACTGTCCTGCTCGGTTGATCCGAAGAATAGGCTCCCGGCTCTCTACGTCGGAACTCTGTTCAATGATCTGAGGGCTGGTGGACTCCCCGGGAGGACTGAGCTCTCTGATGTCCAGCACAGCACTAACCTGACCTCGCCGGCTTCCCTTCGGGGCATTCTGTCGCGGGCTAAGGGAGCGGGTTAGAGTTGGTGTAACCCTGTGAGACTCAGCAGGTCTCTCTGGATGCTTTGTCCTCGTTTGGCTTAATTCTGCTTCGACCTCAGCCACATTAATTTTGAAATGAATGCCTTCTAGGATCTGGGTGCACTTGTCTATAATGTGCTGCATCTGCAGAAAACTGGCAGCTGTCAGGTAGCTGATGATATCTGCCAGCTGCAGGCATATCCGCCCCGTGTAACAGAAAGAAAGGAGCTGTTCAAACACTGTGGGGTTCTTGATGACCGAAATGGAGACAGTACTCATCTCGTTCAGGGACATGTGGTCCCGGAAATAGGGAGAGCTGGCGGCCAGTACCACTTTGTGAGCCCGAAAGGCTTGTCCTTGCACGTTGACCACGATGTCGCAGAGACGGCCCTGCATGCGCAGCTGGTTTAGATGGCTCAGGACAGAGTTGCTGAAGTCAGGGATCTCCAGTTGTATGTTACCACCCTTCTCCATGGTGGGGCCTGAGGGTGTAGGCAGGCATTCAACCCTGTGAAAGAGAAAACCGGATTCGCATGAACAATTACAACTGTACCCCCCGCCCCCATGCTTTCCAGTTCAAACCTATTTAAAAACATCATTTGGCAACATTTCAAAATCTCCCAGTAAAGGGACACCTGCCTTATGTTTAGACATGGAATAGAAAAACCAACAGGCTTTTTCAGTTTAGGTTTCACAGCAAGACACCATTAAACTAAAAAAGAGACTGTTAGTCCTAGCCAGGTTTGGCTTAGTGGATAGAGCATTGGCCTGCAGACTGAAGGGTCCCGGGTTTGATTCTGGTCAAGGGCACATGCCAGGATTGTGCGCTTGATCCCCAGTAAGCCTACCCAGGATTCTCTCTCATCAGTGATGTTTCTATCTCCCACACCCTCTCCCTCTCTGAAATCAATACAAATATATTAAACACACACACACACACACACACACACAAAGTGATCGTTAGCTTTCTAAAAATTCAGGCTATGCCCATACTTTCTTTACTAATAAGCTTACCAACATCAAAATAGAGTTCAACAGAACAGATAGCAGTTGTAATCATAAGGTATTTGCACTGAATATAAAATCCTATGACTTTTTCTTGGAGGAAATGCGTTTTTGAATAAGTATGTTTATGCACAGATAGGTTGATTAGAGATGCCTCGTCTTAATATTTTACTATTTGTGTGAGTTTATTATTTTACAAAAGTCACTACTATCCCACAAGAATGCAAGCCACTATTCTTAAGGGTGAGTCAGAGCCCCCACAAAAAGGATTGAGAAAAGGGGCCACAGGACTCAACTGAGATGAGGAGACTGGAAGTTCACTCTCAGAATTAGGAAAAGGGAGGTACACCTGCCCCCACCTCAATAATCTAATTTCAAAGTTGGGGATTTCAGGGTGGGGATGGTACTTTGATTCTGACATTTAGTTCCCCAAATGCTGGTAAAAATATAGAGCATTTACCACGTATGGCCAATATTTTTACATTTGAAAAGATTTTAAAGACACTAAGCCTAACTGCATCCAACAGCTTTTCCTGGTTTAGAGTAGTTTATATAAACCCCACTCGGAAGACACTCACTTGAGCCCAATGTGATTGCATTTATCTGTAAAGTTACGACATTACATAATTATCTAAGACCTGAAACTTCAGGAACTTATCTGACAAGCTCACGGGACTGCCCGGCATTCACCACACACCGATCAGTCAATAAGGGACGTGTATACACACTGTTTTCAAGAACCAACTTTTAGCCAACCTGACCTTTTTCCAAAGCGTTTTTGTTTGTTTGACAACTTTTAATCCAACAAGAGCCTCTGTCGATGCCATCCTGAATTCAGATGTGTTTATTTTGGAGCCTACACCAGCGCCTTTTTGTTTGCTCTTTCCGGCAATGCCCCAGAGTGAGGAGGAGGAGGAGGAGGCCCCTGGAGTGAGGAAGGTCTTTCACTCCCGTCGGCACCGGAGGAGTGAGAGCTGCAGGAGGGAGAATCGGGAACGCCGTGGGGTTGGCCGCTCCGGTACTTGAGTGGCTTCCGTCGGGGTTAGAAGCGCGGGGAGCGGGGAAGTGTCTGAGCCGCGGAATGTCACCGAGGAGCAGGGGAGGAGAGGGACAGGGGAGCCCGGCGCGAGGCCCAGGAGCGGGCCATCAGGTGCGGGGTGAGGACCGGGAAGGGGGCGGCGCCCCGGGACCCGGGCCAGGCGGGCGGTGGAGGCGGGCGGGCGGGCGGGCCGGCGGGCGCTGAGCCGCTCAGAGGTGGGTGTGTGTGTCTGGGTGTGGCCGGTGGGGGAGGGGGCCGCCCCTCCAGGGGTCCTGAGGGAGGGACTCGGCGAGGGGGCGGGTCCGGCAGCCCAGCCCGGCCCGGGGCCAAGGTGGGTGGCAGGTCTCGAGTGCCTTAGGGTGGGAGTTGGAAGAAGTGGCTGAGCACCCGGGGAGCAGGCGGGCAGAGGAGATCGGGCGGGGCGGCCCCAGGGCAGGGCAGGGCGGCGGGACGGGCGTGCGGGGCCCCGGCCCAGTCAAGGAGCAGCACCTACCTCCGGGGGTGGAAATGGGCAGGAATGGGCCGGAACACCGTCCCGGAAGTGAAAACCCCCGCCCCCTCCCCTGGAGCGGGCGACGTGCCGGAAGGAAATCACTCACCCTTCTACCGTCCCCTTTCCCCCTCCCCCAGCGCTTTCCGTCCCCGCGCCCCCTCCCCGCTCCCTTCTTCCTCATCTGCCGGTTTGGAGGGTGGGAGCTCGGCGTCACGACGGCCATGGTGGCCCCGCCCACAAGTTGAGGGGGTGGAGCCCAAGGCGGGCCCGGAGGCCCGGACGAAGGCGTGGCTGGAGGAGGAGACTAAGGGGGAGGAGCTAAAGTCGACGCAGGCGGGGAAAGTGCGTCATGACGTCACAGAGCGAAACCCTTATGTACAGGCGCCCGGGCGCCATCTCGGTCTTTCGAGGATGGAAGTCGGTCGCAGCTGGTACGTGTTCGTGTTTTCGCGGGTGCTCAGTGGGTTCTTGGTTCAAGGCCTCAGGTCGTGGCAACTAAAGTCGCCCTACACGCGCCGACTTTTAGGGGCTTAGTTGCAAGGCTTTGCGGGAACCTCAAGAGGAGGATTGTAGTGGATTGCGCGTTGGGTGCGGGCTCGCCATAAACTCCACTGCGGGGAACACCTCGGCTCGCGCGCTCTGCCTCTGATGAAGCTTACGTTGGTAGGGACATCTGAGACTGTTGATGAATGCCAACAGCTCTGATGGCGGCGCACGCCGAGCCACCGAGTCGGGGGTCTCTGTTCATGGCCTCGGCCGGAGCCACTTCCTCCTGGTAAGGCCTGGTTATCGGGAAAGTCCACGTGGTTCTCCGAGTGGCTGCATTCCGCATTGCACCATTATTGCCTTCAGAGGTTCTTAAACTCAGCTGTACTATGCTCTCCTGATAGTGCGCTTAGTGCACCCATCGTAGTATGAAATTATGGGGGATGAAAACCATTTGCATAGACGGCATAAACCGGCATAAATAATCTAGAACAAAATGAACTAAAAGTTAATATTTTTCCTAGGAATGATGCTAGGCACGAGTGCAGTGTGGCATCTGATGGACGGGTAAGAATCGGGGTAAACATGGTGGGAAGGATGAAATTTGCTTAAATGTGGGGTGTTTTTTGTTAAGCCTGTGATGGTTTAAGAGTAGTGGACAGAAGGAATTTCTGAAAAATCCTATTCTGAGGCTTCAGTATTCGTGACATTAACAGTTAACGTGGCTGTGTAGAATGCTTCATTGGGTATTCTTTGTTTTCTAGTTCTGTGCCAAAGGAATGAGAACTGCTGTTGGGGTAAGTGAACCGAGTTTGTTTTTGTTTTCCCAGGGGGAAGTTAGGTTAAAATACACGCAATGTGCCACAATGATGACATTTTATTTGCTACTCTCGACTGTGAGAATGACGAGACGTATTACCACCATTACCCAAACTGAGGCACACAAAAGGGTGATTTAGAAAAAATAAAGATTGCACCTAAGTTAACGTGAAATTCTTCCCTTCTCAGGTCTTAAAGTGCAAGCATCACACTCTGGCCATGAGCAGACAGGTGAGAAACCTTTTTTATATTTTGTACTTATTTACCCAGGACTTTTGAGTGATTTAAGGAATCACGTTGCCAAATCGGTGCTGATCCTCACGGTCTTAAGCCTTACCTTTTCAAACATGACCGTCGGCACTGATAGTTAGGGGACACCTAAAGAGACAGATACTGTGATGCTTGCATAGTTCAGCAGATTGAATTCTGAAGAGATGTACCACTTGTCTGATGTGTCTGGTGTGAAACGTTTGCTGTTAACGGCATAAGCAACGTGCCGCCACTAATTTGGCTTTTTCTTTTTACTTTGGTGTAGGCACTAAAAAGGACTAACTGGAAGTTGGAATGGTAAGTAAAATTATAATTTCACACCGGTAACTGGACAAATACAATCCCACCAGTGGCTTTTTAGGGTTTCCTTCTAATGCACAGGAAGTGTTTGAAAGGTGTGCCGAGTGCATTAAATACCCCATCCTTGTCCTGTCACCATTCCTAAGATGTCCGATGTGTAAAAGCCTGTATGATGATAAGCAAATACTGACTGACTGTGAAGTCTTAATTATTAGCTCTATCTGATTTCAGGCATGTTTTAGATTGATAAGGAGAAAAGTCATCTTCAGCTATTGGTAAACCACTTTTTTTCTCCCTTAGGTGGACTTGAATCTCTTGACATGTCTGGACTGGCTTGATTTGCTTCTTGTAAGTATTGTTAAAAACATTCTAATGGACTCAAAACTGAGAATGTTGATGAAGTACGCTGCATAACTACCAAGCTCCTAATGCTTATGTTCTGTGTTTGATTAGTTGAGTGCATGTTGCGCATGCTTTGAACAGGGTTTTTGTAATGATGTTGATCAAATGTCTGACCTGAAATTAGCATGTAGACAAATCTAACACTGAAGAACCCTGTGACGTGTAACAATGAGTACAGAATTTAATTATATTTGACGTTAATAAAAAATGTTCTGTTTCCCTTCTAGCTGTTGGATACACATTTTTTTATCCATGGATGGCAAGCTTGGGGTAAGAAAGACATGAGAACAGATTTTGGCTTCTACAAATTTATATTGGGTAAAATATGCTTTTCTTAGTAATAGTTGACTGTTAGTGTTTTCTGGTGGGCAAAGCCATTGATTTGAGAAATATAGTCAAAATAAATACTTACTTTTTCAGATGCAGGTTTTGGAGACACTAAAAATAAAGGTAATGCATTTTATTCTCAAATAGATAACTAAGCAAGGTGCTGTTAGTGATGATTTAAAAAAAACAGTTGGGAATCTCTCTGAAAAAGAATGAAGACTTATTTATAACTGAAACAGTGCCTGGAACATTTTAGAAATTTTCCTATTACTGCCTGTTACTAAATTTTCCTATTACTGCCTGTTACTAAATTTGAAAATACTTCTGCAGGTGTGAAGCGTTGGGTTGGCTATAAGCCGTGGAACAGAGTTGTAAGCAGAGGTATGGTAGCTTTGATTTTGGTTTCTTTCTATGCTAAGTGGTTTAAAGCCGATACAATGATGATAACATAGTTCAGCAGACTGACGGTGATGAGCAATATTGTCTTTCGCTCCTATCTGACGTATCTGGCTGCAACAATCATAATCTCAGAAAGGGGAGTTGGCCATGTTCCCACAAAACATTCAGGGGTTTGTATAACTAATGTGTTACACCAAACATCCTATGTGGTAATGGAGGATTAATAACATTTGGAGAAATGAAGGTTAATAACATTCTGAACAAATTTTTATTGCTTATAAACCTGTAGGTTACACCTGAATTTTAATTCATTAAATTGAATTTTGCACTTATTCACAGCAAAACTGAAGTACAGTTCTCATATATATACCTTGTAATTGCACACCTCATAGTCAACATCCAGCCACCAGAGTGAGCCTTATGTTAAACTTATGAATTATAGGGACACATGATTGTCCATAGTTCACTCATGCTGGGACATTCACCATTGTGCTACACAGAAGGTGCTCACTACCCTAAATGTTATTTTCCAAAAAGTTAAAAATGTTATTAGTAGGGTATATTTCTAATAAATATCTTTTTTTCTCTCCCAATCTTCAAACAGGCATACCTTTAACCCTGGAGATGTCCAGGTAATATATGATATTTGTTATATATGATTAGTTGTAATGTAACCAGTGATGTAGTGATTCTGCCAAATGAAATAGGATGATATCAATCATAAAACCGTTCCATTTTTATTCTGAGGTTACGTTACTGACAGGCATCGCACAAGTTCTTTTTTACCATGATTAATGTGTGTCCTCTGCTTTCAGGCATTTGTGGCAGCGGTCATGGCAGCTGGCTGGCCTTTGAGAGGTAAGTCTTATAAATATCAACACTGGTTTTAACCCAGAATACATGATGATCTCAATCCAACTTGAACTCTCTCACTGATTACTTGATGATGAAGGAAGATCTGATATTCTGTATAGTGTACTTCAAATACCATTAGAATTGAAGTATGGAAATTGACTAAAAGTGGCTGTTTTATTGCAGGCAGCTGAATGGATGGATACTCTTGGGATAGAAGATCAACTTTGAATTTTAATAAATTTTTGTAAACCATCTGATCAGGTCTGCTTATTTCGTCTTAATGGCTTGAAGAAAGGAAAATAGGACATTTTTGTGAGTAGGACCCCATGGCAAAAGACTGCCAATTGACTTCCATGTATAGTTCATAGGTTCAAAGGATGTCTTAGTCTTTGCAGGTGCAGCTGATGCTGAGAAACTAGACCTTCCTCAGCGGTCCCCTTATTGCCCACAATGTGCACGTGAACCACTGAAACATGAGCTTACACAGATAAATTGAAAGAAGAGCAGGTGATCTTAACGTGGAGGAGTGCTGAAGCTAGAAAACCTCCATTGGCTGTGAGCACCTTGGTCTCTGGCCAAAGTGACTGGCTGTCTGAGGGATCAATCCCCCCAAAAGGAAAGCGCCTGGGAAGAATAATGGAGCATGTGGAATATTTTTGAGGTGGTTGGTACTGTGATTATAGCAATGTCCTTTATCTTTGGAAGATCAATTAAGGCTGAAACCGGTTTGGCTCAGTGGTAGAGCGTCGGTCTGCGGACTGAAGGGTCCTGGGTTGGAATCCAGTCAAGGGCATGTACCTTGGTTGCATGTACCTTGGTTGCGGGCACACCCCTTACCGGGAAGAGGCAGCTGGTTGATGTTTCTCATCGACGTTTCTAGCTCTATCTCCTCTCTGTAAAAACTCAAACATTAAAATTAAAAAAAATTAAGGAGTGCTAATTTTGCAAATGTATGGGTTGCCTATGCATTTCTCTTAAACTGGCTTGCAGTTTTGAAATTCTTAGTCAGTACCTGCCAATCAAATTTCAGCTCACTTTCTAATTCAGCACTAATCAAATAGAGCTGTGATTTAATTTTCTCCAAATAGGAGCTGCTGTTTGAGTTCTAACACTTCTAGGACATGAAATTTCAAGTTGGTAGCTCTAGCTCCATTTAGACCCCTACTTTGAAGTTACTTTAGACTTTTAATACTAGTTCTGCAGGACAGTTCAAGTATCCATATTCATTTTGGTTCCTGATTCTTACACAAGTGGCGTTTGGTCAACTGGTTGAGGGAAGATTGCCTCCAGAGAGGTTAATTGAAGCAGTGAATTTGAAGTAGAACTACAACCATTAATTCTGTCTTGTTAATAAACTTGGGTGATGAAAGAAATTCTTTTGAACTGCAATCTGCTGTTTTAAAGATTAAACAGTGGTTAATGATACAGTGAATCGCAAGTATATGAGGAAAATAACTTGAACTAACTTCCAAACAATTGCCATTTTCATACTTTTGATTAAAGCAAATTTAGGAATTGCCTTCATTTTCCAGATAAGATACTCAAGAGGCAACAAAGGCAATAGTCAATATACAGCAACATATTTGTAGTGAACAGAAGGCACTGGAGGATCTGGTGTGGGGAAGGGCAGAAACACTACTAAAAAGACTAGGCAGGAAAGACTGCAGTCTTGGTTTGAAAGTCCCAGTTGGTATACTCGAAGGGAAAACTGGTTTGACAAAGTTGGGGAGACTAACCTTGTATCCAAAAGAGACTAGATCGGTTTAAAAAAACGTGACCTTTGGTGATTACCATTGGGAAGTCGGACTAGCATGTGTCCACAAATTCCAGAAACCTTGTAATTCTATAACCTGTCGTGTGTGGGAAGGTGTGGAAGGTATTACAGCACTGGTAACAGGTCCCTGGTTCCCAGATTTATTAGAATATCATTGGTTTCTGCCCCTGAAAACACCCATCTACTAATGGATATCTAGTGATTTGAGGAAAAAATACAAAACCATTGACCCTGACCTCAACCCCATCACAGTCAACAACACCCATCTACTAATGGATATCTAGTGATTTGAGGAAAAAATACAAAACCATTGACCCTGACCTCAACCCCATCACAAGTCAACCATGGAGAACTGGAGTATGTTTTGCTGCATGTCCTGCCAAAAACGAAAGGGTCTCCTGCAGTTAAATTCAGTCTGAAAGGCTGGGTTCCATAATTTTATACCAATGCTTTGTTAAAAACTTATCACAGCTATTAAATCTTAAAGGAATCCTCACCTCAAGCTCCTTAACATCTCAGTGCTTACATGAAAAGTATTACATTCAAGACAAAAAGTGCTGTACAGATGAGAAGACTAGACCCTGGTTTACCGCAGACATTGAGAGAAGAAAGGTCAAGGTTAAGCTAGCATAGCAACAAGCTGCCAACATTTGAGGGGCCTTCGCTATCAGAAAGGCAGGTCCTTATCTGTAGGTCTCACAGCTGAATGAATCATCAGTATGAGTGGTCTGTATCCCCTACTAAAACCTCTAGGACAGTGGTTCCCAACGTTTTGGGGTTTTTTTTGGCCTTGCCCCACCTAAGCTTCTCTTTAAAATCCTGATGTGCACCTTTCTCCCTATGTAATAAAAGGCCATTAATTTATTTGGTCTAAACAAGCTTCCAAAGAACATGGCATCCATGAAAAAAAATTTGAAATGGAAGAAATCACTAAAATTGTTAAAATATGAAGTGATAAAAATAGTTTCAAATGTAAGAGAACTGAAATGCATAATTATATTTACATATTATGAGGCTGCTGACAGTAAGAAATGCAAAAAAATTTACTGTTAACTCATTCTCAAATTGCTCTCTTTAATCAAATTTGCCCCGCTGTGGGTCATGTGCCTGGGCCTCACGTTGGGAACAGCTGTTGTAGGACAATCATGATTTACTCATTTTCATGTCCCCCCAGTTCAGCCCAGAGGTCAGTGTGGATTGTTACTCTTGATTTGACCCAACAGGTTTACTGAATACCTACTATAACCAAGTAGTGTTTTAGGTTTGGGAATATTGCAGAGACAATGTGAAAAAAAAAAAATAATCTGCCGTCTTGGATCTTATTACATCCTAGTGTGGCAAATTAAAATGTGATTAATGCAGCAGGGAAAGGGCTCATCCTTTTGAATATGGTTGCCCAGGAAAATCTTCACTGAGGAGCACGTAAGCAGGCAGGATTAGGGAGTGAACAGCAAATATCTGGAGGAGAGTTGCTAGGGTCAGCTAGGGCAAAGGCCTGCATGGGGCTCAGCCTGGGAACAGGAAGGAAAAGCAAGGATGCCAGTGAGTGGAGCAGAGCGGCGCAGGGTGTGGTCAGGTAGTAAGGCTCTGCAGGGCTTTGGTGTTCAAATAAAGTCTGGCTTTTCTCAGATAGGAAACTGTTGGAGGGTTTTGAGCAGACGTGGCATCATCTGACCTTCCCCAACAGTTGTTTACCTTGTTTTTAAAATTTGCAACATAGGATAAATCTAAATTGCCTATGAGGTTGGGGATTGGATTTGAAATAAACTTGGCTTCCAATTTACAATTAGTTTGGTTTGCAAAGTCCTGGTTGTGTCATTTTCAACTTATTAAATATTTCCTTAATTTCTGAGAAAATGTTTAAAATGTCACTTCAATGATTAAGATATAGTGACATTTCTTTGAATTTCAGATAAGCATCTTTTTTTTTTCTTTCCCTTCTGAGGCAGCAATAAAGAAAAGCTGAGTGATGCCCCAGGGACTAGGTCTCTGAGATGCCAACACAGGACTTGGACTTTGTGACATCTCGGGACGTGGGGCTTTTGGTATCAGTAGCCCAGAAAACATCCTACAGATTTGGGGTGTTCTCTGAAACTCATACCAGTATACAGACAATACTTTGGTTAGAATGAAACTAAACAGTGAATGTAGTGACTTTATTATATTAAAAATAAGGTAACATGCATGTGGGATAGATGTAAAATTGCATTTTCCTACCCAATAAAGGGCATCTCAAGAAGTTCTCTCCACTGACAAAGTGCAGGCAGAGTTGGACATCCTTTCTTATCACGAGAGCCCTGCCAACAAAGATTTTCTGACCTCAGGGCCCACAGACGGGGAGTGACTGGGTTAAGGACAAACTTTAGGGGACAGCTGTCTGCAGTTGGGAAGGGCATTCATGTTCTTCCCAGCCTACTGAGCAGCCGAAATGACCTGGAAGTGAAGCTGCCGTTATTTCCAAATAGATCATAGTATCAAGTTGCTTAGAACACTGAAAAAAACAAAGAGGGATATAGGCTGATAATTTGTGTTCACACATTACAAGTCAAAAGAATGCCAAGGCAAAAGAGAAGATAATGTCAAAAAGAACAATTTCATTAATCAAGGCCTGCCTTGTTCCTATTTTATAATTATTAATCATAAGCTTTTTAAAAAAACTAAATCTTTATTATTGAAAATATTGTGGGTGTCCCCCTTTAACCCCAATCACACAATGTAAGAAAATCACAATGAGCCAACACATTTGAGGTTGGTTTAAGGTAAATGTTTTTAGTACAATTGAAGAAAAGGTATTCAGGGATTACTTAAAAAAATAGAAATATAAACAATACTGATGCATAAATTTACTGTTTTTCTTTTCCTACAGGTAATCAGTTTTGTTTAATCTTAAATTATAAAATACACAGCTATACCTGTTTCTGTTTACAGATAGGTTGACAGTCATACATTTGTATCATGCCTTATAATTTTCTAAAGCACTTCCACTCACATTATTTTCCACATACATGATCTCTGGTTGTGGCAAGAAAAGCCCTGTGAGGCAGCCAGACAAGTTCTGTTTGCATTTCCCACTGCAGGAGGGAGACGAAGCAGGCCTATGTAACTTGCTCAAAGTGAAGCAATGACGGATTTTGTGAGTTTCATTTCAGTGATGTTTGGCATTATATCATGTTGCTTTTCACTATGTTACGATTGTCCAGCTTAATTTATAGGATTTTCTTGGTGAAGCTGGTTAAAACAGACTCCTCCATTAACATCAGCCTAGAGGAGTAAATATTTTCTCACATTTCACACATGATCTGATTACTCCTGTTCCAAGTGAACAACCTACTCTCCTATGGAAAAACATGATTAGAAGATACTTAGCCATTATATTCTAACAGAGCCATCTTTCACACCTCTCCAAGTAAAAAGGAACTTCAAAAAAGTCCCAAAGAATTCTAATAATGCATGCTATCAGGTCCAGAATGAGTACTGTCT